GGCCCGAAGTGTATGTGTGCCAAGTTTGGTCCGGATTGGTCAAGAAATGGAATTTTCTATTTGGAACATACGGCGGAGCCGGGTAAGCCAGCTAGTAAAAATTATTTTTATTAATAATAATATTTCAAAATATTAAAAATAAAAAATAATAATAAATTTTATATATAGAGCTGAATGTCTGTTTGTATGTATGTATGTCTGTCTGTATGTCTGTCTGTCTGTCTGTACGTATGTTCCGAATAGAAAATTCCATATCTTTGAGAATATCTTTGAGATGTGCCATTGCACGTCCATGTTGTATACCATTATATTACCATGGAAAGACTTATGTCATTCAAAACCGTTTTAACTTCCAGCAACAATTATTTCGACACTTATTGGTAACGCTTCATCTAGCATGAATTACGCTGCGTGATGCTATCCTCAACAGAACTGAGCATCTATATTACCTACATTCAACGGAACTAATTATACAAATGCTAATTTGTGAGCCTGACAGTAGAAAATAGTTAAAGGCAGCGTCCAGGCAAGAACCACCCACCCAGATTAGCACATAGTTGTAAAGAGGGGCCCATGAGTATCCGATCGGCGTTGGTGCAATCCTTTGACGTGCCCTCTAAAAGGAGATACGGGACTGTGATACGTATCACAAGCCGCCCTTTCGTATCACAAACCACCCCTGAGGACGAGTGCTTACGCAGGTGTGCGGTTGCATTGCAGTTGCATTGCAGTTGCACTGCACACTGCAATGCAACTGCATCCGTACAGTTGCAGCTCCTCCCGCTGACATGACGATGGGACGAGCAATTCGAAACTCGTCCGCTCCTTGAAGAGAGGGTCCTCAAGAACCGGGTTTTTTGGGAGTTTAGAAAATTTGGACTTTACAACTGTAATCAGGGCCACGGAAAGGCCCCAGAATGGCAGAAATATCAGAGACGAAATTTTACCCGGACGCTGCCTTTAAGTGCTTTGAGTGGGTGATACGCCGTTGGAGGCAGTGTCACACCAAATCTGCGCTAGTGCGGGTCCCCACAAATTTTGTTGGAGTCCCCTTGAATAGGCGACCGCCCTAAGTCCGACTCGATCCGGGCCCTTCTACGCTGATAAATTTGCCCTCAAAGTGGCCGGCACGACCGACGCTCCCGGTTTCCCCCTTACGCGTTTCAACATGTCCCAGGGACATGTTGAAAAAACGCGGACGAAGTGAGCTTGATACTCAGCCGTTGGTGCAACAAAGTCGAATAATCTACATTCGAATACGAATTCGAATAAACATTCGAATAGAACATTCGAATAAAATCTATTCGAAACCCCGTTTTTTTATTCGAGTTTTCGAATAATATTCGAAACCTCGTTTTTGATTATTCGAATTTTCGAATAATATTCGAAACCTCGTTTTTTGATTATTCGAGTTTCGAATTTTTTTCGAAAACCCCGTTTTCTCAATTATTCGAGTTTCGAATATTATTCGAAAATGGAAGAACTCCAAATATCGAATTTCGAATACGAATATATTCGAGTGTTTTATTCGAGTGATCGAATTTCTATTTGATTCGGACCCAGTATAATGCCCCTCCACTTGGCGTGCACTTCCATAGTGTTGCTGCCACTGTGGTGGCGAAGGCTAAGAAGGTACAACTCGTCCGCGTTGCTTCCACGGGGCTTTCAAAAACGGGGGGTACATTTTATGCGATTTTACAGCCGCACTGGGCGACAGGAACGAGAAGTCTCGCAATATGCAAAGATCTCGACAACCAAAATCTGGTGAGACACAGCCTTCAAAACTACGGTATACAAACCAACCACATGTCTTGATGCGTCGCACACGCTACTTTTTCCACATCCATTTATTAGGCTGTTGCAAAAATAATGACTTCTTTCCTTCAAAATTTATCTTTCGATATAGATTCTGCATATCATTGAAAAGCTTTCTTCATGTATTTCTAGCAGTGGTGGAATTAAGTTTCTACCTCATCCGTGAGAATTTCACCAGCATCTCGCACAGCTGCACTCAAAATCAAAATTTCGTTCGTCTAACTTCCCCAGCCGCAATTTAGGCGCAAATAAACGAATTCTTTTGAAAATATATTTACAGTATTGGTTGAACATGGTTTACCTATAGCATGTTCAAGTAGATTTCTGGGAAATATCTAGACCGAGAAATCGACGCCCCGAAATAGATACTCGCTGCTGGCATTTTATGGGCCCAAAGTTCCTCATAATTAGGGCAATGAAGCTTCGTTCATTTCTGTATGTTTGTGACATCTTAATTTTTGCAAAAAAGCTTAGCTATGCATTGTATGCAGAACCAATTTTCATAGTTTGGCGCCTTCTGGCCAACCACAAATAGGCTCAAAAAAAGTGAACAATTTTGAATTCCTATCTTTTCTTTTCGCAGGTCCCCTTCGTAGATTTTTTCTGCATAAACGTATATTATGGCTTGCATCTACAAAATAAGTTAATCAGCAGCCATAGGAACAAAAACTGAAGGAAGTTGTAATCTCTCAATGACATTTTAGACATGTAGTTCTCTTCCCGTTCGCAGTATCAGTATTAGCAGATGCCCTTTAGGTCACTGAATGTCTACTGCTTCTGATGGTTTTGATTGCATTCAAAAATATTGAGACTATACAAAGTTATAGCTTTTCAAAGTGAAACTATGCAAAACGGACATTATTTTTGCACCAACCTAATGCATAGTCAAGGTCAGCGCTCTATTGCTTAGATGTAAATTATAATAAAACCACCTAAATCAGCGAAGCCAAGACGGTGAATTCAGGATTAGTAAAATCAGCTGATGGAGTCTGCGCACATTGTACACTGCCCGTCGCAATTTGAATCTACTTTAAATAGGAAGAGGAAAAAGGGTACAGCAGCGTAAGCATTGCTCATCAAAAATAGAGTGAAATTACGCGTGTATGCGCATTATGCGCCTAGGCAGACAACGGTTTTTGTATGCGTTGAAATGAATTGCTGGCAGGCAGTATGCCGCACTGACTCTTGACGCGACCACATCGTTGCCTGCAGAACTCGGCTCCGTAAAAGTAAACGTTGCGCCATGGAAGCGGCTCACTTGGTGGTAACAGGTAACAGAGGAATTGCACCGTTTATTGAACGACGAAGTGGTATGATATGGGATAGTTTATCTCTATACTGATAAATCTCAAAAATAGTTTGGAGGGTATGGGCGTTGTATTAGGTTGTCCGGAAATTAATGCAGGTTTTTAATTCCAACCGCAATAAGTCATACACTTCTCATTTCTAAGTAGGTTGCAAGGTACCGTTCAATAGAGCAAAGTAAGCTCTATCAGGTGGCTATCTTGCTTTAGCAATAACTCTGATCCACAACGTGTTTCGCGCCAAAAACTAAAAACATTCAAGCGTCCGAAAAATTGAGAAAAATCGTAACTCAGTTCATAAAAATCCTATAAAAATTCTAAGTTTCTCCCGTAAACATAATCCACATAGAGCACCTATATACGCCACTGCCGTATTTTTTTCTCTGTTAGAAATCAAGAAAACGGAAATTTTCGTGCATTTGCCAAAGTGATGCTGTGGCGTCCAAACATAGGTAGTTGTATACCACAAGCCTGTAGAAGTACAGACTTAAATTTCCAGCTCTCTACAAGCTTTAGTTCTCGAGAAATATCGAATGCAGTTTTCCCTAGTCATGGGGTCCAAGCTAAAATTCACATTTCTCGAGAATTAAAGCTTGTAGAGAGCTGGAAAATTAAGTCTGTACTTCTACAGGCTTGTGGTATACAACTACCTATGTTTAGACGCCACAGCATCACTTTGGCAAATGCACGAAAATTTCCGTTTTCTTGATTTCTAACAGAGAAAAAAATACGGCAATGGCGTATATAGGTGCTCTATGTGGATTATGTTTACGGGAGCAACTTAGAATTTTTATAGGATTTTTATGAACTGAGTTACGATTTTTCTCAATTTTTCGGACGCTTGAATGTTTTTAGTTTTTGGCGCGAAACACGTTGTGGATCAGAGTTATTGCTAAAGCAAGATAGCCACCTGATAGAGCTTACTTTGCTCTATCGAACGGTACCTTGCAACCTACTTAGAAATGAGAAGTGTATGACTTATTGCGGTTGGAATTCAAAACCTGCATTAGTTTCCGGACAACCTAATAGAAACGCGCACCGCTCAACAGATTCAGCTAAAACTTTGCGCGCATATGTTTCGACCCCTACACAGATGATAGGCTGCTTTTTGCGGCAATTTGTTGGGTCATCCACTGATTTGTTGATTTTTAGCACTTTGCAATGAACATGAATTCTTTTTATTTGCTACCGAACATTTTAGCGTAACCATTGGCGGAAGGGCATTCTCACTTCGCAGTAAGGGATGCGGCGGCACAAGTCTGTAATAGGTGAGCCTGCTTCAAGTTTGCAACGCCGTATGCGTTAAGTGAGACAACGCCCGGGTAAAGCTGGAAATGCCAGCTAGTTAGCCATAAAATCATGTATAACGGTGTGATACAGCGACGGAAGTTGGCGGTGCGAGGAATACGGTAGGAAGGCGCCTCAGGGCCGCTCGGTGGCTTGACTTTGAATGTCTTTCTCTCCTTCAGCTTCTGTCAAGCTTTGAACAGATGACTTATAGTATTGCATCTTGGACCTCTTCCAAATTCTTACAATGATTACATTGCAGGTGAGATGCTGATAAAAGCCCCCTCCCCCCCCCCCCCCCCGGTCTCCGCAAGTGAATAGAAAACGTCCCAGCAAATTGGCTTGACAATGAGTGCGAAATCATGCAAAACAGTTATTTGCTACATAATGTTCCCCTTTCACTGAGAACGCATTTGCTTTTTTGAAGCAAATAAGTCAAGCCAGAAGATCTTGTGTTAAGTAAATAATTTCGGAAATCTAACAAGGACTCTAACAAGGATCCAACTCTTTTTTACACTTTTCCGTACATCTGTAATCTAGCATCAAGCACCATCTACATTCACCCAACACTTTGATTTGAATACGTTGCAGACAATGACTGCTCTAATAATCCTAGTATTAGTATTATGTGCTGCACCAGAAGCCAAACAAAGACTGAAACAAGCTGAGCCTAGAAGCAAATCTGGCAGATATCTTGGAGACGGTGAGTAAAGACAATGATGATGTACGATGTTATGATGAGAACTTACAAGCTTTAGGCACTCGACAAAAAAGGTGCAACAGCAGTCGTACTGAAAGCCCTGAATGTGTGGGCAATGAGAGAACAACACCGTAAGTTAATAAAGTCAGATTCACTCTCAGAAATATTTGTGGAATCAGACGTGTCTCTACAATATTTGGCATCTGAAATGCTGGGCGAGATCGAACACAAATTGCCCATCCTATTTGCTGAAAGTTAAACAATCCTTTTCGTTTAGATGATATCGACAGTTGATACCTTTAGGCCCCAAACATGGGCGAGGTCAGCAAAAGCGAAGCCCGTAAATTGCTTTATTCACGAGAATGGGCAATCGATTGACTTCTCTGAAAAAAAGAATAAGAAAAAGCTTATGCAATAATTTTCAAAAGCAGGCCAACTTTAGAATTTGCTTCCTGCCTGATAAATATGACATTGACTTAGTGGATAGTCTCCGTGTCCATGCTACGCTAAAATCTTCAATATTCTAAGGCTCTGCTCAATGAGCTGAGGAGATATTCGCTTAGAGGCGTAGCTCTAAAGAGTCGCTCTTTATTCTGCAAACATTAAGGTAGTGAGAAACAGACCAACTCAAAAAATGTATTATTTTTACTTTCTTCCAGTCAAAATTGTTGATTTTTCATGGCAGATTTTGGAATACGATGCTACTCACAGTCAACACAGCGAATTTAAGAGCACAGAAAATTTAAATCTTTTCGACATAAGTTGAATGCTCTTTTGTCCTTGAATCTTGGCATGATAGATGTCAGTAGATAATTGTGTCAGTAGTTTATGCCTTCAGATTCTGTGGTGGAGACTTTATTGACCTTACGTTTCGACAATGTCGTCGTCATCAGAGGTCTCGACTCCACCGGCTAGCGACAAGCCCGCACATTTGGTCGTAACGGACGTCACGTCGAGTGATGAGTGTTACGACCAAATGTGCGGGCTTGTCGCTAGCCGGTGGAGTCGAGACCTCTGATGACGACGACATTGTGAAGACATAAACTACTGACACAATTATCTTTTCGACATGTTCCTCAATTTCTCCGGCTTGTTACCCTAATAGAGATGTGGGGACTAAACATGGTCCAAAATCTGTCTATTTTATCTGCGGACTGCCTCAACCTGTAACCTCAACACCTTTACAGCAGAACGCAGGTGAAGGGAGTGTGCTCACGCAAATAGGCCTAAAACATAGTTCACGCGATTTCAGTTGCGATGCGATATGCCAGTTTGCCAGATGTCATCCAATCGTACACTGGCAGACTACAATTGCATAGTGTGTATAACATCCGTGGGATGATTGATTGCCTTATCTTCTGTGCATTTCGAATGCACTTACGATGAGTTATTTGCATTTGGAGAATTGGCAAATTGCGTCGCGGGTGAAATCGCGTGAACTATGCCCGAGGCCATAGCAGCAAACCCGCAAGCCGCTTTCATTACGCGGTTGAGTCAAGAGCTCTTCAAACTGCATTTTTTATTGCTATGTCATCTAGAAATCATTAGACCTTGACACTTACTCACAACCAAATGTGGCCAAAGACCAATCGAAATTCTAAAGCCAACTTTCAGACGCCTGCCTATCTGCTTGCATTTTGATCTATAAAATTCCAGCCAGCTGAGATACTTTTTCAACCACACTTCTGGCAACTGCGAATCGTATACTTACTACAGATGTCCATTCAAGAATGACGCCATCAACGGTACTTATGAGAATAGCTTCAAGAAGGAGAAATATTGTCATCTTCTTTGTCGGCCTGATGGTATTAAACCTCGCTGATTAGTAAATATACTGTACCGAATGTCTTGATCAACCTTTCCCAATGTGTCCTTTTCAGCGTCATATTGTTATCGTTGCATTTCTCTTTTCCTCCTCTTTTGTTGTAACGCAGCATAAAATTTGAGTTACGTCGAGTAAATTATGTGACCGTTATTTTGTAGTAGCGCATACTGACTCATACAATTAATATTCCACATACCTTTTTCACATTTGAAAATATCCTCTACATGGTACTGAGAGAAACACGTCAAAGATATAAGTTACAGAAGCCTCTGTCATATTTTCTAGAAAAAAGAATATTTTTTGATTTACTGTACAATACCACCCGTAATTTGTGAAAAAAATGGCGGCGGCACTTAAGTCACGCGGCGCCGCCGCAGTTAGGTGACAAACGCGCGACAAAAGTCGGCGGAAAAGCGGCATTTGCCGCCTAACTTTGCCGCGCAACGCCTAACTTTTTTATAAAAAAGACCTTATCTTGATCCAAAATTTATGAATTCTATATATAAGAGTACCATTCAACTCAGCTCGGCGAGGCGCATCTTCCAGTATACAGATGTGCCTAGTTGTGGGATATAAGTTTTTTTCCTGGAATTTTAGTGTAAATGGATCATTCAGCGTGCTGATTCCAGAGGCTACATACACGTTCTGTTGAGCACTGCAGAAATAGGGCAGGTATAGCTCAAGAGCTCATTTTGCTTGAATATGTGTGAAACTGGGCTTTTCTCGGCGAAGTATGACGGGTCCCAAAATGCAGGAAGACAAAGGGATGGTTGGAAATCGCATGAGAAGCACATATCGCGGAATGCCGCGCGTGCTGTGCAATGTACAATACCACTCACAGAACGGGAATTTCGCGAAATTCCAGAAATTTCGCGATTCCGGAATATCACTACGTAATATATAACGAATTCGTGCTGACTCATCATTCCGCCCGATTATTGGTTCATGGCAAATGAGGAGGCCGCAGACGTAAAAATTATGATGAAATACACTGATCTTTGGATTGGATTGCTGCCAAGTGGCATGCGTTTTGGAACGCTGCCAAATTTCATAACGAGTGACTAAGCAAATTTTCGTAGAAGGGTCACACGAGTTTCGAAAGGCAGTCATGAGTGTCGCAATGATTCTGAGACTGTGTCGCCACTGGGGTGTATTATTTGTACCAGCTTTTTGAAATCGAACTTTTTATCCCAGAATGTGTCTTTCAAATATGTTCTGCTCCTATTAGTTGCTTTTGAAATGATGCCAAATTGATATTCTCAACTCCTCGTAAAAATGCTCTAACAACAATCTCTTTAGGATTATCTTGCTTCCGCGTGTAGACAAGAGAGTGCCTAAATAACTTAGTCTCGCTGGTACTTTTGGAAGCGTTTATTTAACAACAGCCTTGCTTTTGCTTATGTAAATGTGTCCCGCTGGTTTCAACTGGGTATCGGTGTATAAGCGGCACGTAAGGCAATTCCATCGGGCAGGGAACAGATTTTTGTACGTTTAGGGCAGTTCTCAGAATTGAAAGTCCAAGAGTGGCATGCACGGCAGTTTGAGAATACGCTGAAAATAATTGATTTCGTTGTTCTCTTTCTATAGAGTCGTAAAATTGGCTTTTTATATATACGATCTTCAAGCGGCACATGAGGCATAAACTTTCTTTTTGAATACTTATTATCGGTCTGTGAGCGGATTTTTTTTCAGATTTTCTTATGCTTGAGGCAGTTCTTGTAATTCTTAAACGGTCTTCAAGCAGCACGTAAGGCATAAACTTTCTTTTTGAATAGTTACTCTCGGTCTGTAAGCAACACGTAGGGCAACCCGATCGGGCAGGGAAACAGATTTTTGTACGTTTGGGGCAATTCTTGTAATTTTTCAACTGTCTTCAAGCGGCACGTAGGGCATAAACTTTCTTTTTGAGTAGTTACTATCGGTCTGTAAGCGGATTTTTTTTCAGATTTTCTTATGTTTGGGGCACTTCTTGTAATTCTTAAACGGTCTTCAAGCGGCACGTAGGGCATAAACTTTCTTTTTGAACAGTTACCGTCGGTCTGTAAGCGGCACATAGGGTAACCCGATCGGGCAGGGAAACAGATTTTTGTATGTTTGGGCAGTCCTTATAATTCTTGAACGGTCTTCAAGCGTCACATAGGGAATAAACTTTCATTCTGAATAGTTACTCTCGGTTTGTAAGCGGCACGTAGGGCAACCCGATCGGGCAGGGAACAGATTTTTTTATGTTTGGGGAAGTTCTTATAATCCTTAAACGGTTTTCAAGCGGCACGTAGGGCATAAACTTTCTTTTTGAACAGTTACTGTCGGTCTGTAGCGGCACATAGGGTAACCCGATCGGTCAGGGAAACAGATTTTTGTATGTTTGGGCAGTCCTTATAATTCTTAAACGGTCTTCAGGCGTCACGTAGGGAATAAGCTTTCATTCTGAATAGTTACTCTCGGTCTGTAAGCGGCACGTAACCCGATCGCGCAGGGAAACAGATTTTTGTATGTTTGGGCAGTCCTTATAATTCTTAAACGGTCTTCAGGCGTCACGTAGGGAGAAAACTTTCATTTTGAATAGTTACTCTCGGTCTGTAAGCGGCACGTAGGGCAACCCGATCGCGCAGGGAAACAGATTTTTGTGTTTGGGGCAGTTCTTATAATTCCTAAACGGTCTAAAAGCGGCACGTAGGGCATGAATTGTCTTTCAGATAGATAATTGGTTTGTAAACGGCACGTAGGGCAATTTGATCGGACAGGGAAAGAAATTTTTTATACGTTTGTGCAGTTCTTGTGATTGACGGTCTTTGGGTGGCTCCCTTTTGTAGTAAAGCTTCATATTCCCTTTGGCGAAAAAATTAAAGGATTCTTTGACAAAGTTCTTAGACGACTGATTTTGTTGCTGTCGGAACTGATTCTGAGAGAAAAGTGTTTTTTGTAACACACGTAATTTCTATGGGTATTTCTACTTCCAAAACGATATGTTCTGCTACTTACTTGACGATATTTTATGGAACTTTATGAGAAGAACTGAAAGAGCAGATTCTCTTTGAGAGCGTAGAAGAAAAGTGGGGAGGGGGGGGGGGGTATCTGAATGTCTCTGTGAGGAGGGAGATTTGCATAAAAGGTGTGTAAAAGAGATAAAAATAATATCATGCTTGGATGTAACAGGAATTTCGAGAAATGCTGAATGATTTGTGGAGATTATTGCTTCTTCGAGCAGTTCTCCTTTTGTGGAATGCTCTTCGCGAAAGTGTTCTCAGGAGGAACAAGAAATTTATTTAGAAATATTTTTAGTCAAACTTAAGCCCTATATGTATCTGCCCCGACCCACTTGCTAGCGACCCGTAGGGTCGCTAGTCGCAAATTATGCAGAATATCAAAGCTATTTCGGTGGCTAAAACTCAAACTATCTTTTTAGGTCCTTGATGGATCTTATTGTGTTAGATTTCGTAGTTTGAGTTCTAGCCACCGAAATAGCTTTGATATTCAACTGAGCAGCTAAAGCATACGCAAGTACCATATTCAATACAGTGGGAGTCTTTGGGCGAAGCGAACACAATATCCGCAATGCGAGTGTCATACAAGCGCTCACGGTGGAATTTCGACGAAATATGCGATCTTTACATTTTGGGCAAAATTCACATTTTGACCAAAATCCATCGGCGGGCTTCCAAAGCGTAAAACGAGAAAAAATGAAATAACCCGAACATCTCGAAAAACTTGCTCATAAGGGCTATCCGACCTGCTGATTACGAAAATCACATCTGCTTAGCAAGGGAGCTTCATATTTTAGAGTTACGTTGAGAAAAATTTAGAACGACATGATTTTTCCAGAATTCACCAGCTCCTCTAACTCCTTTGGAAAGAAGTGTGCGGTAAAGTTCTAGCGCCCCATAATTTACAGAAGAAGTACTATCGAAAATTTCTTTCTGAATCTACTGGGGGCAATACGCTGCATCACACCTTTGCGAAGAGACGCCCGCAGAAAGTTTTGAGAATACTGAAATCGAGATATCAAAGTCATTTTGCACACCGAAAGATTTGCCTTAATGAGCTGAGCACAATGCATTTTTTGGATTCAGAAAATATCCACTCCAAAGAAAGTTACGGCGAGTAGAATCTGGAAACGAGTGATTTTTTAAGAATTTACCAACGCTTTTTTCTCTTTCGAAAAGAAGTCTGCGGCAGCTTTCTAGCGCACTATAATGTACAAGAAGAGCACTATCGAATGGTGCTTACTGGAAGCTTTCATGTTGGATAGGCGCTGCGTTACATACTTGCAAACGGACCTCCTTAGAACAATTTGAGAAAACTGGAAACAAGATATAGATGACATGACGTATGTCAAAAGATTTGCCTTGACGAGCTGAACACAATGCTGCTTTCGTGTTCAAAATATATTCATTCCGAAGGAAGTTATGGCGCTGCATAATTTGCGATATTCCGGAATCGCGAAATTTCTGGAATTTCGCGAAATTCCCGTTCTGTGAGTGGTATTGTACATTGCACAGCACGCGCGGCATTCCGCGATATGTGCTTCTCATGCAATTTCCAACCATCCCTTTGTCTTCCTGCATTTTGGGACCCGTCATACTTCGCCGAGAAAAGCCCAGTTTCACACATATTCAAGCAAAATGAGCTCTTGAACTATAACTGCCCTATTTCTGCAGTGCTCAACAGAACGTGTATGTAGCCTCTGGAATCAGCACGCTGAATGATCCATTTACACTAAAATTCCAGGAAAAAAACTTATATCCCACAACTAGGCACACCTGTATACTGGAAGATGCGCCTCGCCGAGCTGAGTTGAATGGTACTCTTATATATAGAATTCATAAATTTTGGATCAAGATAAGGTCTTTTTTATAAAAAAGTTAGGCGTTGCGCGGCAAAGTTAGGCGGCAAATGCCGCTTTTCCACCGACTTTTGTCGCGCGACGCGGCGTTTGTCACCTAACTGCGGCGGCGCCGCGTGAGTTAAGTGCCGCCGCCATTTTTTTTCACAAATTACGGGTGGTATTGTATTACGATAGAGCTAATAATCCTACGATATTCTGATAAGGAATCACGTTCACAAATTATTCTGACCTATCCTTAAGCTCTTTCAAAGGTTTAGTTCAACGATTCACGAGACAGCATTGAGACCACATATTCCGTAAGGCCTAAGGCATACCTCGCGCGATTCCTGTCGCTGCGCGATTTGGCGCAGCAGCGACTCTCTGTAATTTGTCGTTAATGCGTTTCCTTTGGTCAGAACTTAACCCATTTGCAAGAACTTACACAAGTTACCCGCCTATGCGTTCGAGAAGCGCGCACGATAAATTTGTAGAAATCTGGCAAATCGCCGAGTCGCGTGAAAGTGGCGATTTGGCCAAATCGCGTGAGGTATGCCTTAGGCCTAACACGAAACAGATAACTCGCCAGAAATCACTGGTTAGTAGAATGCGAATTCAAAGGAACTTCACTTCTTTCTCCAGAAGATCGCCGCTGCACCCTTGCTCTTCTTCAAGTTGCGGGCTGATCCGCAGAGTGGAACGAGCGATCCACTCTCAAAATCAGTCATTCTCCTGACTGTTTTTGAAGCACAACTGCTGACTTTTTTTTCAAGAATCGGCTGCACGGGTATAGTTCCATCTATACACTTGTGTAGCCGATTGCACCGTTATTTGTTATGGATTTGCTAAATGCTCAGCTTTTGGAAAAGACCGACTTATGGCCGCGTTCGTAGATAAATAAATATAACCGCCATTATGAAATTATGATGGGTATATTGTTATGTGCATGGTACACGTAAGATAACTGCAACCGTAGACGCAGCAAAGTTCTTGGAATATTCCCTAAGGGTTATATGCTACTCCTAGGCCCTGTATTTTCTCGAGCATTGAAGCGCACGCTCTTTTAGATGTAACCTTAAAATCTCAGAAATGGAAAAAGTAACTTGAGCCATCACTCTTACTGCGGATAGTTTAGCCAGTCACAAAGAAGAAGGCTTGCACATCACTGCAAGCTCAGACACATATGCTTCTATTTAGGAAAAAATGAGGCTGGCCCGTAAGACTCATTGTTCCATTATTTGTTAGCATACATGCCATATTTATTTGAATAGATGGTGATTCATAGAACTTGACTATGTTATGTTCCAGCGACGAATGAAAAGATTGTATATAATTGTAAAGATGGAAAAACAGACATTTCAGTCATGTCAAGGATTTCCAAAAGCATGACAGCAAATCTCTGCACGATTTATGGTATAATCGGAAAAAGCAGATCGAGATTGGGTATTTACTACCACAAAGTGGAACGCCTGTTAAGAAGCGCAAGAAGTTACCAAATTTGACTAATATTTCGTTAGATATCAAAACTGATGCTTGGTGGCTGAAAGCTAAATAATGAAAATTGTTACGCCCGACAGCAAAGCCTCACATTCCAGAGAGTTACTGCTAGCGCATGAATGCAGCTTTTCATTGTCAAAGGCCAAAATTCTATATATCTATGTCATATATCGCACAATCTTGCAAATTCGACTGCTGTAGTAGCTTTGCGGGGAACGTAGGAAAGATAAGATAAGATAAGATAAGATTTTTTCTGTCCGCTTCTCTGTAATGAGTAGTCAGCAAGTTCAACTATTCGTAGTCTATTGAACATGATAGCTAGTGTGAGCCTTAAGCAATAATTATTAGGTCGTCCCGATAGTTATTCGCACCATTTTCAGAAATTCTGCCTTCTGATTTTTCCAACCGATTCAACTGCCTTTATTTTATGTGAAAGAGCAAATCAGGCTCTCTTCAATCATATCTTACCTGGCTATCAATGTTCATCTGTTGATAGATAGGAGCGATAGAAGATAATTACTCAAATTTTGAATTTTTTGTTTGAGGTCATAAAAAATCGGAAACTAGCAAAAAAAAACTCGTAGCAGTCGGTATTGTAGGCTCTGTTACCTGCTCTTTCTAACTGTGCAAAGTTTTGCTGATTGAACATCTCTATCAAAAGTTAAGATTTTCGAGCAAGCAATACAATCTTGATTTGTTTTGGCATTTTTCTCAAAAATCATAGCATTTGATAGAGGCGTTTAATCAGCACAAACTTTGCATATTTACAAAGAGAGGGTAGTACTTAGAACCTATAGTTAGTTCCACGCTTCGATTTTTGACCCTACGCAGATGATTCAAAATTTGAGTAATTTTTTACCGCTCTATTTGTGCAATACATGAAAATTGCTAAGTAGCTAAAATATCATTATAAAGAGCATAATTTGCCCTTTTAGATAAAATCAAAAGCACTTGAATCGGCTAAAAAATCAGAAGTTTTGAATTTTTGAAAATGGTGCGAACGAACTTTCGGGACGACCTAATATAATGTGCGTGAGTTTTATACCAAATCCATAAATATTCTTCGATAATTTCTACTAAAAATATGTCTTGTATCAGAAACAAAAAGACGAATAATTTGGTACGAGGTGGGTCTATGCTCCTCTCAGAACAGAAGAATCGCTACAATGCATTTTCTTCCATACTAATAATGATATAAGAAATTTCAAACAAATCTACAGTCATCGCTTTGCAGGTAAACAAATCTGACCATAAATTGCAACATATCTCATCGCTCAGTTCAACAGAGGTGCAAACAAACATGACTATAACAAGGTCAATTACTATTGTCATTCGTGCAAAACAAGTGATTGCCTCTGCAATTCTGAAAAATCGACGAAAACAACTTATCACTACCACTTAGTCAAAAAAAACGTTTATTTATATCGGAGGTAAATCAGCACTGAGAGCCTCAATAGACTCTGAATGTACAGAAGGATCCTTTATCGAGCGAGGAGGTTCAGTGGCCATATTTCGGGTACAACGAACGAAATAATAGAGGAATAAAACAATAGCGAATACAACGTACGGAAAGCCAACATTTAAAGCTGCATTGCCAACTTCTAGTCTGAAACCGATCGATAAAAAAAATCGTGGTAAGCGATAGTAAAAATAAACACTCACAACTGGTTTTTCGTCATAAGGTAGGGGCTTGCGACAGGAAAAGCGGTGTGCATTGGCACGACCTTGGTGGCGTTAAACGCATAATCGTTGATGTTCATTGTAGAGCGTCTGAAAGGCTCGTGGACGAGTTTCATGTTTTTTCAGGAAATTTAAGGAATCAAAGACCAAGTCTAGAAAAAACACGACAGGCTGGATAGACGTCGTTGTAGCGATGTCGGGAAATTCCCAGGCCGTTTTGGCGCCTAGGTCATTCCCGCACCTGGTTAAGGTAACCTTAGGGGATCCTAGGGACATCACACCTGAACACTTTTATCTGCTATTAATCATTTGTCCATTACTGCACTGATAGAAGAGTATTGTTAAAGGCAGCGTCCAGGCAGATTCGGATATACTCAAGTGCTATCCTAACCGAGTACTAAGGGCTCGATCTAGAACAATCGCAAAAATCTGACTTTTGTACACCCCTGTAAAAGGAAAGAATCGGTGCAGAAAACGCCGAGCATCGAGGACCACGCCCACTCCTTCGCACGGCCCGCCTCCTTCAACGAACTCTCCTCAGCCCTTGACATGTTTTCACGTGGCAAACTCAATCAAAACATAGTATCTACCTGTTAATGCTTGCTTTCGAAGCACTCGTCCACGCTTCTCACAAAATTGTCTCAAAAATGGGTCTTTTTGAGAAATTCGCACATTTTGAGCGGCATATTTGGAATCAGCGCTATGAAAAGGCCTGGATAAGGCAAAAAAATAGAAGTCGAGAGAAAGGGGGGGGGGGAAGAGAGGGCGAAAACCAAGCTGTTAATTTTACAAGAGGTATTGGGATATTACGACCATTTTAAGCAAAAGATTATGATGGCTGGTACTGCTATACTCAACCCACACCGATAGAATTTTTTCATATAGTCTTTTCCTCTTATGTTTCAATCGCCAAAACCAAGTAATACCTAAACGTTATGGGTACTAGGTCCAATAAAATTCTTCTTTTAGCAATGATGTAAACATGGCTCCACTGTAATGACCAGTTTCCAGACCGAATTTCTCCCGATAGCGCTTGATGAGCTGGTGTGAATATCACTTGTTGAATTTTGTATATGAAAAATATGACCCGTCGAAAAACTCATCAAATTCAAAGTCACATCAAGTTATAGGGAGAAACAGCTGTCCGCTGACGTTATTTTTACTTTTACGGGTTAAGAGTGAGTAAATATAGAGGCAATTCTCTAACAACACTACGACTTCTATCTTTTTCTTTATCTCAAAAAAATTTACTCAAATTCAGTCTTTTCTCGTATGGAGTATCGGAACTGTGTGCCGATACGGAGGAAGTCGGAAAGTTCAAAAACTCTTACGCAAGTTAGAAGTTCGACAAAGATGATTTAAAAAGATTTTGAAAATTCGAGAAAATATGAGCTGTATATATAGTGATGGACCGAGGGAAAGGAAGAGGCAGAGTAGGGGAGTGGGGGAGTTGGCAGGGAGGGGGAGAAGCGTTCTTTGAATGTTGCGCATATGGGTTACTTTTAAAGTTGCCTATATGAGTAAAATTGCGCGAATGACTTGTTTTACTTGCATATAACAATGAAAAATTTTCAAAACTTGGAAATATTCAAGTTAGCCCTGTGAAAAGTGTTTTTTGCGTGCAAAATTTTAGCAATCTTCATTTTCATTTTCATTTTCATTTTCATTTTCATTTGTACGTTCAAGGCGTTCCATAATAATAAAAACACATCTTGGCTCTTGGATCTTGCCTCCCCCCCCCCGAATAATTCTGCTAAATTGGAAAGCATCCAAATACTTCTCCCTTCCATACCTCCTCCCTCTCCCCAGCGCCCCCCGCCCCACCCCTTGGCCTACAATAATTTTTCTGGGACCGGTACGAAATTACGAAGTACCCTTTGGCTCTCAGCCTTAAAACTAAACCCCTCAAAAAACGAAACGTAGATTGAAAAAAGTCAATTTTTGGCCTCAAAAACGATATCCCATTTTCTTTTTCGACCCAAAAACGAAGTTTAGCCTGCTTCCATACGATCTGCGCCGGGCTCTGTACTAATATAAGCGGAAGGCTACAATCGTAATTTGAAAATGATGAAAAATAATTTGTGCAAAGGCTTTGACAAGACCTAATATTTAGCTCACATTAGAAGCGATCTGATTAGATCTGCACGTTCTTTAGTGTAATATGCCCTAAAAGACCGAAAAGATAGCAGAATCTTGTTATACCTGATGAGATTTTCTTCTTTGAGTTTTTGAGAAGAGGAACATGTCACATTGCAGTGTTCCGGTTGACGTAGCTGCCAGTTTTCGTTAAGCTAGGGTCAAACGGTTCGCTCGTAACTCTCAAGGACATGGGGTTTGAACGACATTTCGCGCTACACGAGGATGTAGAAGAAAGTGATTTGATCAGAGAAGTACAAACTTTTATTCTAAAATCAAACCTGGGAGAAGTTTAACGGGAAGATGTGTATTCTGAACCTTAACAGACACAGTTTCTTCCTCTTTACAGCAGCTATGCTATCATGACTTTTCTCATAATTTTCAAGATCACCGAAGATTTTGTATTCATCATTTTTGCCTTGTAAAACTCCAGATAGCTCTCAAACATTCCATTTCGAAATGAGGATAATTTAATGATGGGATAAAGATGAGTTTAATGAGGACATAAGAACGTGCAAGCAGAGGAAACCATTTTCAGTAAATGTTCTCTCTTGATCTTTTTGAACTGAGCATTCAGAAAATTTGTATGATTTTCTTCCATCATTTGTATGAAAATTGCATGAAAAACAAATGTGTCAAGAATTTCGAAAAACAGAGTTCGAGAGTGTGAGACTCGACTAACCTGATTTTTACGAAGTAAACGAGAACTCGTCGTCACCCTTTCAATTAACGAATTGAAATTCTGACTTTGAAAATATGCGACTGCACAGATAAGAGGTGCCAACGTTGGGTTGAGAGCTTTTGCAGTTTTTTTTCAGAATCTCAGAATAAAGGCAGCCACCTTAGAGACTATCAGCTGAAAATGTTGAGCTCTGCAATATTTGCAAAGGCATCCAAAGCATGCAAGAAATCAAAAGCTAACAAACAAGTGAAGCTTTGGAACAGCCCATTAACTTCAACCGCCACGAAATTTTATTTCCTTCATTAAGGCTTCACTCGTTCGGACTTCAGATTAGTCTAAGCTAGGCTGAGCAGGCCAGAACAACCTAAGCAGCACAATTTGCTTCAGAAGGGGTAAATCCTGATGTTAGCTATGAGTTTTCTCCTCTATTTTCCTTTCTCCTATTTTCTCCTATTTGTCTATGGTCGTCTCTTATAGCACATTTCTATAGTCCTCTGCACTTACTAACCTTTCGAGAAATATAGTAATACCAATTTTATCCTTTCCGGACAGCGCCAAAGCTGCAAAATCAATTTTAAAAATTGTAATTTCTACAGTAAATAGCAGCAGGCTGTATTTCGATCGCTCCCCCCCCCCCCCCGCCTCCAAAATTCAGCAAAAATGGCGGTAATCAGATCAACTAAGATTGCAGGCGCTATTTCCGCATTAGTTGACCCGTATTGAAAATCTTGGATTTTATTAAAACTTCGTCTAAGGGGGTTATTTTGCAAGCTGATTGATTCGCACGGTAGTGCCATTAGGCGGGGTTACGAAAGGACGGTAGGGGTCAAAAACACAATTTGCCGCAAACTTCGGAGGTATACTACGAAGGTTATTTGGCAAGCTGAACATATCATATTTATTTCGTACGGTAGCGCCAAGCTTTGGTTACAGTGCGCATACGGTGGATGACTACGAATCTCGAATTTGCTAAAGATTTTGCCCGAAGGGGTTCTTAGGCACGCTGATTGCAAATATCATGTTCGTTCGCTGCAACAATGCCTAACCGTTAGAGTTACGAAGACTAGAGCGCGTAAAAGACAACTTTTCCTCTTCTCAGCCAAATTTAGGTCCCGGATCCCCGAAAAGGCTTTATCGTGTAAGACGAGTGCGATATATGTACGTCACCAAGTCAGATAAAACGCCTGCAGCTCGAGCAGATCTATCACTTTGTCCACTTATCGTAATTCTGCAAATACCTAGTTCTTCCCGAGCGTGATTAGGAGCCCCTCTAGGTCAAGTTTCAAGCAAATTCGGGGATTTTAGCCATCTACCGTATATCAACCATACATAACTCGAGAAAATGGTGCTAGCGTACGAAATGACTACGGTTTTCATGTTCAGCGTGACAAATAACCAACCAGACGAAGTTTAGATTCGTGGTTTTGAATTTCCACCGTAATCCCAACGTAATCCCACCAATGGCACTATCGTGCGAAGCGTGCACTTAGTAACTTCGCGCGATTTCAGTCGCGACGCGATTTGGCAACATTCCAATCGTCCATAACTCACTGTAAGCGCATTTTAAATGTGACGACGATAGGACAATTCATCAATCCACGTAAGTTATACACGCTATGCATGTGATTTTGCTGGTGTTGGTTCTGAAGACTTTTGGCGAATTGCCAAATCGCGTCGCGACTGAAATCGCATGAAGTAACCGTGGCCCTTCAAACGAAGTTCTAGCGAAATCCGCGGTATTCATTTTCTGGGTCAACTAATGTGGGACGTCCAGTACCAGATGGTGTTTTACGGTTTTTCATTAGAACGAGGATTATACAGGGATAGAAGCAATTTTAAGCTGAATAGGGTAGATTACGTTTGTGATGGAGGAAGAAAAGAAGGAACGTTTCCCAAACGACGGAACTTCAGAACAGCTAGTAGAACTACTCCAGAATTCCAGGATAGCTAATTAACTCCAGAGTAGCCCTGCTGGCCCACAAATTTCAGTTACATGGGCCAGCCAGGCTGTTCACGCATTCGTTTCGGCTATTGAGTGATTGATAAAGGGGGCAGAAAGGAACTCTTAAAGGCACCGTCCACCCAAATTGGGGTTGGTGAGATTATGATACCTGGCAGATGCGGGCCCCCCAACTGTATGATTGCCCAACTCGCGCTGCCTGGAGTTGCTTCCGAACCGAGAAAATTGCTTCGGAAATCGCTTCAGGCCGCGTTCGCGACGCTGGCTCCTCCCCTTTCGGAGTGGGCGTGACGTTCGTCCCGCCCACCCATGCGCGCCCAACCAATCACCGTACCGAAGAAATCGCTCTGCGGGTTCTGAAAACGGGGTTTTTCGTGGTTTTCGCGGATTTTCAACTCAATATTTGGAATCAGGGGTATGAGAAGGCCCTGGAACGGCAAAAACATGGAAGTCGAAATTTTGGGTGGATGGTGCCTTTAAGAAGGAAGTGCAAATACTAAGCTGAGCACCCTGCTTTGCTTGTTTGGTACATGCTCCTCCAACAGTATCGACTGTGAAATTATAAAGATGACAGACAGCGTCCATAACAATATGTGAGCCGGTTTTATGGCCAGTTGCCACGGATGTTCTCAAATTACTATCACTTCCTCTCAGCTAACTCAACCTCATTGAGATTGCCAGCTTTCTAAAGATAAGAGGCAATAGCCTAATTTGCTCGAGTTACTAGGCGAAGCTGAGAAAAAAGGAATTTTCACGAACAGATTACGATATTACATAAGTGATCGTGAGTATTCTCAAGTATTAAAGATAAGGTTCCCAGTAACAATGAGAACGTATTTCGACTCGTTAAACAACCAAACCAACGCTACTCCAATCAGCAAACAGTACTACTGTCTAACGACCTTTTGGAGGTACGCTTGCTACGGTCATTTGGGTTGGGGGGAGCTGATTCGATAAGAATGCGAGTCTAGAAGCGGGTAGTGACATAGGTCAATGATTGTATTTGCATTACCTACTCATGCCAGAAGCCAAGTAATTGCCACAGATTTTTCACCAGGCGTTTGAATGACCAACAATTTGAATCGAACATTTCTAGTTTTGGTGACAGTATCCGCAGCTAACTGCACCCACTCTGAGGTCATGCTGGAATGATGACTTTTATGTTATAATATTTCAGTAACATGCATGAGCGAGTGACCTTACTTTTTGATACGAGAGAAGGTTTATGAACACTTGGTCTCACTCACATTTACCCCTTTGCATTTCAAAACAATGACACAAAAAATTCATACAAATCAGCCATTTGTTTTATTCAAATGTTCGGCTTTTCAGCAGCATGAGCAGGAATGGTATCTGGGCGCGTGGGCGGGATTCCTGGAAGAGGCATAGCATTGAATGTTGGAAGAGGCTCGATGGTGGACGCTGTCGATGTGCATGGAGTTGTTGCACGTGGCTTTGGAAGAGGTATTTCCAGGATTCGACAGTAGATGCACCATATGAGGTAGCAGTTGTAGACAACCATTGCCATCCATATGAGAGACAAAGCGAAGTACAGACAGCCGAAGAAATCAATTCTGAATATATTGCATACTAGTACTAAAGGGAGATATTTCTTGGATAAGGACTAAAACCTACGATGCACTGCTTTCGCATAATGTACGCTCCTTTACGCAGATCCAAGTGGTACCGTTTGCTACAGTTTTTAGCAGATTCATCCTGTTCTCAGGGTTTGCAAATCTGAAAAATGTATTGATTGTCTTGACAGGCTAAGCCTGCAAGGGCAAATAAGGAAGACAGAAAGGCCAGCCAAAGAACAAGCTATTGCAAAACCAGCCAATGTGGCCATTATGAAATTACGCTATGCATAAGTCGACCTCGAGCTGGGCTACCGTATCCCCGAGGATGGGTGACTCCGCTCCCTCCGAGTGGTTGCTCATTAGGGAAGACGCAGACTCAAGGAGCAATGAAATAGCATGTGGGATGCAGAGAATGCAGACGCGCATAATATTGAGCCGCTGCACCGCCTTACGAAAGACCATATAGACGTTTCAGCCCCCTTACTAAGTACGATTTTCTGGGAGACGGTCAAGAGACGCGATTTCTCCGGCTTTCACCAACGAAAACTCATTTTAGTGCTGTGCGAGTCTTATGGTTAGAAAAATACCAAACAAAGTGCATTGGCTTACTAGCTATCTGAAGCTACTATATGTGGAACTTGGCGCCATTGCTGGAAAACTGATTGAACTTTCTGCGAAATTGCTGCCAATTGCATAATCGTGGATTTTTGACGCTTAGTACTTTGGCTTGACTCTTAAATAGAAAGATGGAACAACCAAGCATCTAAAGTTTCTTCTTCGCATTATTAAACATTTCTAGAACTTTATAAGACACCGCTATCTGCTATTTGGAGCCCATCTGGCAATAAAAATAGCGCCTCTTGACATACCCCTAAATATCTTGGGTAAACATCGATCAAGGTACAGATACCTGCACAAAAATGCAAATGATCTAAAAAGCGTCACTCTTTAGTTCTCTTGAGTACACTCGAACCACTTCTTATAATTCATATGTGTGCGTGGGTGTCACTGGCACACTGTCGATCTTTGGCGTCCCCATCCTGGATTGTTGGAGCAGACACCCCTCAAGTAAGTTTTTTCAATGTGCACAGATGTTCCTTCCTTTTTAAGTACTAATCACCTCAAAGTGATGTAAGCTATAACAATCGATCAGTCTATTGAGGTTTTGCCATTGCAAGTCCAGGATGAGGACGTCAAAGATGGATGGTGCACTGACGATCATGTCAGATGGTCCGACTGTAGCTACGGAATTTTTCCGAAGTCCAATGTTGGTTTTATATTTTTATAACAGTTTTAAGGTTCTACTTCCTGCCAACCTCAGCGCAGTGCACACAACATAGCACACTTTGACGGTTCCTTACAACTGTGCTCGCCAGCAGACTACCAGATGCTTCCGTGCAGCATTCTAGTGAAGATAAAATTTACTCAGAATGAGGCCAAACATGGTTGATTTTGCGTCGACCGCTGACTTTAACAATTTGCGGAACCTTAGCTTACAAGGGCGTTCAACACAGGCATCGTTTCCTTATAATTTTGGTAGAAGGTAACAATAAAAGGCTACATCGTCAGAAAACTATGCAGGAGCACATACTCCAGACAACCACAACAAAATCAGGGGTACATGTCAAGGTGAACGATAGCTACAAATAAGCATACTGTAGTCCTACGGTTGCAAATATGTCGCGCATACAGTTGTCTTTTCTGAAGCTACATGTTTTTGTTGGATTAAAAATGGTGTCGAAAACTGATGATTAGGGCCCACTAAGGGCCTACAGCGTTTTTCCAGGATTTCCATATCTTCATAGCCTAATACAGAACTTAAGAAATATTTGACCTACGCAACGCATATGGGACAAACTATCGTTTATGCTGGCTGCCCCCCTCCCGGCCTAGCAGTAGCGAGAAGAAAAAACGTAGAACATGGCAGTCCGATCCTAGCGCAAAGTTACTAAGGGCCGCATGCACTAACATCCCCGCGGGGAGGGGATCGCAGCTTCAGAAGAAAGCTTCATATCCTAAAGCTCCGGATATCTGGATTTCACGCTGTCTACCTATCCGTAAGTATTCCTACTACCTTTCACTATGAACATGTTGAACAGGAGCGAGAAGCTGTACAAACCGCATTTTCCAGCTTTTGTATGATCCTGATGATCCCCGGCGCTTTTCTTTAAAGTCATTTTTCTTTCTCCAAAGTTAACGAAGAATCTCCAGAGTTATGCAGATTGTCTAACCCGACAGTGCTAAGCATGTTGCTGCTAAGAACAAATGATGTTTTGAAGTCATGAAATTTGCGATGATCCACAGGTCGAAATTTGAGGCTTACCGAAAAATTCGACTTTTCAAAAAGTCATTTGTTCTCATCAGCAACATGCTTAGCAGTATTCTGTTAGATGTTCAGTACAACTTTGGAAGGTTTTCGTTAACTTCGGAGGAAGAAAAATGACTTTAAAGAAAAGCGCCGGGGATCACCAGGGATCATACAAAAGCTGGAAAATGCGGTTTGTACAGCTTCTCGCTCCTGTTCAACATGTTCATAGTGAAGGGTAGTAGGAATGCTTACGGGTAGGTAGAGCGTGAAATCCAGTTATGCGGAGCTTCAGGATGAAGCTTTCTTCTGAAGCTGCGATCCCCTCCCCGCGGGGATATTAGTGCATGCGGCCCTAAGACTTTTGAGCGAAAAGTAATAATGATGTGCGATAAAACTTGTTGCATAAAGTTCTTGAAAGAAGCTATTTACAATTTCGGTGTGGTCCTAGCACTTTCACCAACTATAGCGGGATACATAAGCGTTACAAGAAGATGGTTAGAAGACACAAGGACGTTCATAATGGTGGATAAGGATGAAGACATTGCGAAAGACATACTGGTAAACGACCTCTACGAACAACATTCTGCGTGCGCAGGTTCTGGATCGATCACAGGGCGGTCGGTCCCGTGGCGATCGGATTGCTGTGAGATGCTCAGCTCCACACCATGAAAATATGACGACGATTAGAAAGGAAAGAAGGGTTTGAGAGAGAAGGCCCGTACTTGAGTCAGCCTTTGCGCTACATTAGCTACAGGTCGTGCCTTGCCCTGATAATTAGCCATGGAAAGAAAAACTTTTAGGTTCGCTTTTCATTCCATAGTGAATAGTTTTTCAAAAAATTCGCTAGTACATATATTGTTGCATCAAACGAGTACACTGAAGGCATCTGCGATCGAGATGGAAAAGCTAACTAACTGCCATGGAAAATTATCGGAAATATTAAAATCCTGTTTTTCTTAAACAGTATTTTGACAAGCGTTACATAATCATGTGATATTATTGCACAGCGATATAATCGCTCCGGAAATTCTCAGCACTTTATTTGGGCCTGGTCGTCAAAAATCAGCAATGCTCAAATGCCAAGAAAAGCAGAGAGCCGACCGGGCTTATGGTCAGATCGAATCAACACAAACTAGATCATGCTCGGTCCACGGAAAGGCTTTGCTACTTTAGGTCAGTATCGCTCTTGTTCCGTGCTATTTCATATAATTATGGTATCAGCAACAGGTCACCTTTTGTATGGTTTTATTCATATGGTAATTACCAAAACAAATCTACAGACTGCTTTTCGGAAAGTAACGAAACAGGAACCAGTGAAAAAAATCATGTCTAAGTTATTCGGCATTAGCATTTGACTGCAGACAGACTCTGATCACATGATCCTTGTTGGATGGACACTTGCCGTTCGTAGTCGTTTGGATCCTCGTTGGCTTAGGCTTGCTAAGCTTTCTCAGTACGCCACGAAGAAAGCAACATAAGTAGGCAGCCAAGGCGATCATGATGAATGGAAACGCAAGTACCAGATAAGCCCACAGTCTCATTCTGAAAAAAAGGTGTATAAATTTGTCCTAATGAAGTTTTCAATAAAAACTCACATCAAACTGTTGCTTTCGCGGATTACATATTCTTCTTCCAGGCAGACATAGGTGACATTGTTTGCCACCGTCTTCATGACTTTGATTACCATTGCTTAGTCGAAAGTTCGTCGGTTCTGAAATGATCTGTTCCATTACGTAATCGATGATAGGGACCTAAAAAAATGAAAACAAAAAGAGGTCAGATCACGACCAGGTGCCAATAACGAGCTGGTTATGAAGCAACAGGTGAAGACGTGAGCACGTTTCATCAATCAATCGAACTTCGATCGGCTCAGTTACCGTAGGCCTGGCCCCGCCCACTCACGTGCACGCGCACAGAGTCAACTGAAGGAGACGCAGGCGCAACAGACAAAGAAATAGCATGGCTTTTGGAGAGAGTGCAGACGTTTAGAAGTCTGTTTTGCTCACCCTGCTTTGGTTATTTCGACACATTGAGCGCTTTGGTAAGCAATTGATTTTACGAAATAATAGGAACATCAAAATTTCGTGAAAATTACGATGCGCATGAAAAAATTGGTCTTTATTACTGAATCTTCCATAGGCACTGTTCCACGCCAAGGTGCGTATGCAGGGGCTCATACTTCAACAGTCAGTCCATACCACTATGGAAATAGGTGCGAGTTTTTACTTGTTGTTCAAATTGTGTTGAATTTTTTATCGTAATCACCTATTTTGTTATGATTTTACTTGGTATCATTGAAAATCGCTGCTTCAGAAAGCATTCAAAAGTGCTGGAAAAAGGTATCGCTCTAAAAATAAATTCTGTGAGATTTTGCTGGTTGTATTGCCGGACAGCATATACGTCAACATTAGGTTACATAGCTTTTTAGGTTACATAGCTTTTTTTGCTGAATAAAGTAGGATGCACGATTTTGCGTCTACTTTTCATATAACGAATGTCTGTGATTTGCATATGAAACACACATGCTTTCAAATTTGAAAGAAGTTTCTGGAACATGTAATACAGTTATGAACTTCTGCAATTAGAGAATTCTGCACCGTTGGCAAATTTGACTATAGATAGTACCACTTTATTCTTTGATCAACTGTAATTATAGAACCTTGCGATGTATGTTTCGAACACCATGCGATGTTCGAGCAGTGGAAATCGACACCCACGAATTCCCGTGATTCATATTGTTGTCATAAGCTTTGGAAGATCATATGAGCCAAGGTACATCACATTTTGGATTAACGACTTCTAGTGAATCTTTAACACAAAATGGAACTTTCGCATAACTTTTGCGCTGCCGCTTCAAATACCTAATTTAGTGGTTGTTCTACCAATTTTCAGACTACACTTCAGAAAAGAAGAACATCAACAATTTTGCAACTCTTCAAGCTTATGTTCTCGTGAACTTTTTGAAAAAAAAAACAGTCTATGTTCTTGCATAGCATCAGCAGCTTTAGCGTAACTGCAAACTTTTAGCAAAGCATTTCTTTGCCAGAAAACTCAAATTCCAAGCTCTTCTCTCCTTTCCACAGGGGCAAGAAAGATTTTCAGCGAGTTAGTGAGAACGTAACTTATAATCGTTGATGTGTGCACAATGTTCTGCAAGTTTTCGGTGAACAGGCAGAAACACAATTTTATTGTTCACAAGAACTTGAGTGTTCATAAAAAACCGTTCATGCTGATTGGCCTGTTAACACATTCACGACAATACGACCCACCGGTAGGTCGTACTGTCTTGCCAGAGCAGTACGACCCATCGGTGCGTCGGTTGCCTTCTGAAGTTTTTGATTTTGCTAGTCCACGGTGGAACTTTTTAAGCAAGCCGAGTAAGCTTCTGTATCCACCTCTTGGAGAACTTCCCAAAAGATCAACATTCTAGACCAAGGCCCCATCAGTGACTCGAAAATATTATGCAAACTCAGTTTTCGAAATATGCTGTGGTTCAGCCCTGTCGTGAATGTGTCAATGGGACCTGGCTAACATGAGCTTGGCCCGTCGATTATAGAAGATTCAACATCTTCCGAGGTAATCATCAATGCCTAAAAGGACTGGTACCTGCTCAAAGTTGAACATAGCTCTCCATAAAGATCTTTATTATAATACTTGAATCTTACTAAATCTACAGAAATTCATGGAATGGCATCTAATCGACTCTTTCGACAACACAGCTTTTAGTTTGACATTTTCGGCGCTAAGATTTACAATCCGCCGAAGGTGGAAAGTGACAAATCATTTTTAAGGCAGATCTTATGTGATTCGTGTTCAGATAGACGAAGCTTGGTTATATCCATTCTGACTCAAAGCATTGTTCGATAGAGCAAAGCAAAGTAGCTCAACAAAATCACCACCAAAGGTCCATCTAATTGTAAGTTGTTTTTTAAACTTCAGAGCCAAATTGGGAGGGATTTTTGTCACTTTAAGAATGGTTTTGTCGAGGTCTTCGTATGAAAGATACGTAGTAGTATTTTTGAGTAATTTTGCTAAATTTTTCGTACTACAAGCTTAGCAAGTATAATGTTGAAAGTATAACTCGGTATGTGCGAGAAATGCCAAGTTTAGCACTGAAGGAAAAATCGGAGAAACGTGACATTTTTATATTTTCGAGCTTATTGTTTCATAATTTTGAGTCGCTAAAAAAATTCAGTTATTTTATGAAATTCATTGATTTTTGCTCAAATAACAGTGATGTGATTTTCTGTGTCAAAGACGGTCTTAATTTTGGTGGACCATCACAAAGTTTCTTTAGCAGTTTTGCAAACCAATGAAGTTGAGCCTCCTACTTCGATGACACCCTTGTTCCTCAAAACCGTTGTCGATTTGAGGAACTCACTCAGAATCGTATACGCAGCTCTTTGACTCGTGCTCTCAAACTTGCTAATTTCAGGCCTGAAAAAAATTCGTTTTGCTTTTTTTCCAGAATAAAATATCTTTCCAGCACATACGTACAGAAACATACACTCATACAAACAGATCGTGGTGCGACATGCGCAATTCTTCGTTCACATTGGGAAGTATCAATCATATGATCGATAAACTCAAGCGTTACAAAATTGTTGAAGAAGAGAACCTGGATTCTCGGACTTTCAATTTTCAGGCTAGGTATAATCCGAAGCGTTCAAATTTTACGGGTCCACTTTTCTTCCGGGTCACAAAAAATTTGAACAACTGGCAGACTATGTAGATGTTGTATCTTAAACAACTGGGAAGGCCATCATCGTTTTCTCACATGAGCAAATTTCTTTCCATTGTGATTTCTTGATTATTTTCTGCATTTTTTTTTGAAAATCTATGCGAGCAAAAATCAGCAAGGTGTCGCATGAACTCTAAGGAAAAGCATTTGGATTCTGGATATAAATTCTGACCCCAGAAGCGATCACTGAATTATTTCAAAATTGAAAGTGGAATTACTTCGTATTAAGTTTATGTTGTTGTAATAGTTGACACCTAGAACTAAAATCAAAGAAATTTATTCACAATCTTATAGTGATGATGTATACATACCAACCACATTATATGTTCAAACAATTCGTCTTATTGTTAGAAGATTCCTCGAAACGCACCAGTACTATTGGTGGTTTGTGGCAGCATATTTGTTTCATTATAAGCAAAATGAGAAGAATTATCGCAGCCAATACCAAAATCAAGATTAGAGATCCCATTGCATATACGAAAAACGCCTCCCTGGAAAAGCACGGATAGAAAAAATATTGAGAACTTCTGAAACCACTCAAATGTGCAACCTACTTTGATACATTGCTAACCATACCGCAACTGAGAATGATGTCTAAGATGCATCAAGCGAGTCTTAAATAATTTGTGTGACAGCATAACGCTCGGAAAGAAACGATACCTTAGAAATGCATTCAGCGAATGCGACTGTGACTCATGGAAAAAGGAGAATTTCTCATAAAGGTTATGTAGTCAGACCAATGATTGATACTCGAAAGCAGGTGGCACCATCATTCCAGGAACGATGCAGGTGACTTCGCTGGAAGAGAACGAAGTCCTTTATGAAGTGCCTATAACAAAAGGACATGATCCAAATGAAAAAATGACGATGTATCCGTCGCATTGGATGTATCATTTCTTCAACGCGCGGTACTGCGAGCTTGAAGAAGATTGTACCACCAACAAAAAATTTTCGGGCTGTAACTAAGCGGATAGAAGGGAATTTAGGATTTCTCATTTTGCGTTATGCCTCTTAGGTTTATCTTCTGAAATCAGCTTAAAGTAGTAACATAAACGCGACGATATTTGCAATCTGATCCTCACGCTCTATCAAAATTCTTTGAATTCTTATACCAACTTAAAGGCAGTGTCCAAGCAAAAAGTCGATTTCGAGATTATGTGCTTACCTGGGCCTATTCGCTATGCTGAATCCTAAAATAACCACTGGAGAGCGCAAAAACGACGAAAAAAGGCTTTAACGGAGGAGGAAAGCTGCAGGTGGGCGGGGCTGTCCACATAGTGTTGTCATTTTCCCTGCTTCAGGAGCGATCTTCTCGCTTCCGCTAACCGCACTAACATCACCACCACCCAACTGCGAAACGCATGACCTAAAATCGGAACTGAGAAGATCGCTCCTAAAGCCTGGGAGAGCGACCGTCGCGGTGTGAACGGCCCCGCCCACCTGCGATTTCCCTCCTGCGTTAAGGCCTTTTTTGGCGTTTTCGCGCTCGCCGTTGTGGTTTATCGAATTCAGCATGGCGAATAGGCCCGGGTAAGCACAAAATCTCAAAATCGACTTTTTGCTTGGACACGCCTTTATGCTTTGTCAGTACACCGAAGATCGACTAGGCTCAAGCCTGGGGTGCGGCACGCCACAATGACGCGTCGTATTGAGCAGTCAAAGAGGGAAGGAGGTTGTAATTGAAGCGATACTACCTTAGCGTTAACATAATATGTGGTAAAATAAAGTCAGTCAAGCTTATTGCGCAAAATAAAAGTACACTGAGGTATTAGTCGGGTTTGGTGCCGGAGACGACAAGCAAAATTTTGTGCCTTTCAAAACTCTTTGGTACAGAACTCCATTAAGATACGGCGCCAAGGCAGGGGGATGGGATGAAGCAGATACATGACTCGATGCCACAAGTGAAATTCTGTAGAAGTCAGTAAGAGCGATTTTACACTGCTTGCATTTCGCGTCGCGTCATTTCATTGTCGCCTTCCGGTGCCCCCCCCCCCCCCCCCGTATTGGTCCATCATCGTATAAGTATAGTAAGCATAGCAAGGAAGCCGAACCTAACATGATGAGTATCATTTCCTTAATTAGCAGGTCAAATAACTCGTGTGGAAAGTATCACTAAATTCTAAGGTTTCAAGACATTGAACCACCCAAGCAAAGTGGTCAATTTTGAACAGACTAGCTCTACCTTGAAGGTAATCAAGCTACTTTTTTGGGCTTAATAAAGAATCACTATTCTTCGCACACATGAGAACTACTTCAAATAACCATAAGACTAATGAATTAGGAGCTAGCTAAGATCTCGATTTTGATTATTGCTTTCAATGGTAGTGCTTTCAACACTATTGCTCAAACTAGAAAAAAAAACGAATTAGGTTCAAATTGTCTTAACGACGACCAAGTGATAAAGCAATGCATATAATTGATGTATTAAGTCGGCCTAAAAATAATTTCGTTTTGGCATGCAAATCTTCATAAAAAATTTTCAGGTTGTTTTCTATCCATAATTTTTTGTGCGAAAGTTAGCTTGAAGCTTCCTCTATCACATATTAAGTACTCAGAGATTTTTATTGTCAGTAAAGACAGTTCTACCTCATCATGTAAATTTCCAAGAGCTGAAATAGTTAACTTCCTGCTTCTTTTTCATGCTGTAATGGATGTAGAGAACAGCTTTTTGGTATTTGGATACAGAAGAATTTTCTCTGTTTTGTCGGGATATCATTTCACCATATCTTATGCCTCGTCATGCTTCCACTGTTTACTGGACACGCCACCCCGCCTACGACACAGTTGCTGTTGTACGAGTATAAAAGACAGCATGAATAACTCTTACACACACTCCCTCTCCTGGCTGGTCATCCTCATACCAGTCTACCCTTCCCCCCTTTCCTCTCCTTTTATGTAACTTATATAATAAACTAATTTATAATTACTTATGTCCTGGACACAGTACAATAACACCGCTACACCATCAGGCAAAGGTCTGTGCACCCCTTTAACCTGATATGGAGGTCCCAGGGAGATATCATCCCGCAGATAGACAAAATTTTTTTTTCTCTTTCTCTCTCTCTGAAAAATTAAAAAAAAAAATCACCACCCCCCACCCTCCTCCCAATCGACATACCACCCTTCTTCCAATCGTCTTACAATCCCCCTTCCTCAACCATGGCAAGGAAGCTCGAACGACATGTGAGTATTTTTTTTAAATATTATTACCACTAACCAATAATGGTGTGTTCTAACATTAACCTAGAGCAATCTGAGAATTGCCTTCATAAAGTCCTGCGGGCGGGTACCTTAGGTCAATAAATTATATATTTCATGCATGTAAAACGCGGATATTTTCGAAAAATAAGTTTCGTGCCGATTTATGATTGAACGCAAAATTTTTTTTACGCGCAATTCACAGTAGATTTGTTTACACATTCACCGTGATCCGTGACTTACGTAATTAATTTAGAGATGAAAAGTATTGAATATAAATTATTATTTTGCGCATTAAAGAATGAGGGTATATTAATTGTAATTATAGCTAGCATATCGGGATTTATCCCTTAAATTTATACAATTATTATGAAATTCAAAAGGACTCGCTCGCGAAAACCGGTAATGTATGCATACAAAATCTGAGATTGGCTATACAATATAGCACGTGAAGGCGCTGACATTTATCAGCTCGCCCGATTCACGGCGCATTGTTTGGTGAATAGATCATTGCATCTCTCAGACAGCGCAACCTCAACAAACCTCAGCTAGCAATAAATTCTCTCGTGGATGACGAAAACTCACAGGTGGCCGCACGAAATATTTTGCTCGGAACGCCATTATCCGCCATTAATCAAGCGCGAACAAATGGCCGAGCCCAGAAATATTTACGCGGAGGAACCCCACCTAGCAATTAATAAGTCGCGAACAAATGGCCGCAAAGATAAAAATATCCTAGCGCATCACCTGCCGTAATCACTCACTAATGGAGCAATTGGCCGTAGGCGAAAACACTCAAGGAGGAACCCTCAAGACTAATGACTATACAGTTGAGATTGATGATCGTAACACCTACCCCTTCTTATTCTCACCTATCTCAAAACAAAGAGACTAAAGAGCAATTGGACACCACTTTGGCATCATTTAAAAAAAAAAGCCCAAATAATATTTTCTACTCACTAACGAACTTATGGGTCCCCAGCAATAAGTCGGATAAATACAATATTGAATTTAGTTGTGATTAGTAAAATATATCTTTATATAAACCCCTAATAATAAAAAAAAAATTTTTTTTTACAAACTCAGCATTTCTTGTTCAATGTCAATTTTTTTTTTCTTCTCTAAAACAAAAAAAAAAACCTCATTCCCAAATTTCTTTTTCTTTTAAATTTTTCTCTCCCAATGTAACAATACAAGAAAAAAAAAAGATATTTATTAACACTCATTAAATACAGACTACTACGAGTACAATAGTGCCTATAACATAGAAAATTATTGTGGAGCGGCTCTACCGCCATATGGTATATAAATCCTCTCCTAACGTGAGCATTTCCTGAAAAAAAAATATAAATAATCAAATAAATACATAGATCAATAATAGAAAATAAAATATTTTTACTGACCCTTTGTAATTCCGCGTGAAGTTAACGATCACTCGCCGAATTCTTTTCATATCTGGCCCTCTCTTTGTCCAGTTGCCACTGCAACGACTGGATGTGCCGAAATCGTAAACATTACATAAATACGAAAAATGTTGAAGTGTTGCACAGGGGGACGAATATATTGGTACAATATTCGGTGTAGTGAAAAAAAAACGTCAAGTTTATGATAATGGATTGTAATTTACAAACGAAGTACTCTCTATTTATTTATTTATTTATTTTCTTAAAGGGGGGACTTGTTCTGAAATGGCACAATTTCGCCAAATCAGTGCAAGGGCGAGATTTGTAGTAGAATAGTACGGAAAAAAAATTTTTTTTTTTTAATTTTTTTTACTAGGGCTGCTTAATAGAAAAAAAAATTTTATTTCTGTGAATCGCCCATTCAAAGAAATTATGTATGTTTTTAGCGCGGTTGCGGCATGAGAAAAAAAAATGGAGAAGAAAGAAAAAAAAATTCAAACTTACTTGCTCTGTTAGTCAGAGAGATAGGTTTCACAGTTTACAGTTCTTCAGAATCTGTGCTATCGCTGTCCAGATTCTGGCTGTGGAGCTGTAAACTTTCAGGGCGACTAACAGGATGTTCGTCATTTGATAATGTTTCCGAGGGTATTGGTGAGTTTTGAATTGATTGATGGGAAACGTTATCAAATGAAAAACGGGAACAATAGATTTTCAATCTATTGATATGAACAGTTTGACTGTTTTGTTTACCAGTCAAGCTTTTGATAGTAACATTAGGACGATTTACGCTTTCTACGAGGTAAGGTCCTTTCCACTGAACTGAGAATTTTGGCCTGACAGTATCGTCGTGTAATAGCACAAGATCTCCAGTGGAAATTTCCTTCGTAAAAACTTTATGCTGAAAATCGTATCCTGCTTTGTACCTTGCGGCTTTTTCTGCAAGTTGCTTTCCTACTTCCGTTATAGTTGTTTGGAGCGCAG